GATTGTAAAGGTCACCACTTTCTGTACCAAAACTTGAATATTAACCTGAAAACTTAGTTTCAGATTCATACTCTTGAAAAGGATCTTCCTAGCAAGATCGAAACGTTGAGGAATAATACAATATATTTGTTAATTTTGTTATTTGTTCTAATATACTACACCGGGATTACACAAGTAAAAATACATCCTATGCAATGAATCATACTAATTCGGTGCCCAAGTTTTTTCAAACCATCCAGTCCATTGTTGGTTAGGATACCTTCAAGCAATTTATAAATTTTGCAATATTTCAGAATTTCGGTTTTCTTTATTTACTATATGAATCTATTTTTGTCCCACTTTTCAAAGTTGAGGTTTGGCATTTTTATTTTTATTCCAATATGTTGTAATTGTAGGTTGTATACAACTGACAAATATCGGTGGAATGTAATATTATTGTACTCTAAGAATTTAGTTTTTCGTGTTTTATTCACATCTAACTACGAAATTAAATTTATGAAAGAATTTATTTGTGATACCACTTTTAATATAATCACAACAACATACGCTGTGGATTAAAAATTGATAAAAGGTTGTTAATTAAGAAGTAACTTACCGAAAGAACAAGCGTGCAACTAAAGAAATAAATAGAATAGCTTCATGTGTCCTGCAAAATGCTATACATAAATAATGAGTGTATATCAAATGATATAAGGCAGTGGTTTGATAAGCAGTGGGTGTTCATCAGTTTCCCATTCAGTGTATTCACTGTAAGTTTTGTTGAAGTGGATGTTTCTTCGAATAATAAAGTGAAAACATCTAAATAGGTATACTCATGTTGTGTATACGCAAATTTCTGGACACCTAGAGTGATGAAAGAACGTCTTTTTCAAGAACTTTCTTTATATACTGTTATGTACTACCGCCCCCACCCTATTTGTATTGATCATTGACCTGACAATTTCAGTAACAAGTAATTAGCTAAAATCCATTGTGGTTTTGGATGATACTGAGATGTGACTACTAGTTAAATCTTGGAACAACAAACCAATAATCTGGCGTTGTCCAATTCAACTCGGCTTTCCTGCCAACTTCACACACAGCCTTTTCCTTTGATCAATGTTTGTTAAATACAATTTACTTTTGTAATCCTATTACAGTGTTAAACATCGTATTTCTACGGTAGTCACTACTGAAGTGATGGAATAATATTTGATTGGAGATTTCTGTTAACTGGTAGGTTACGAATCAGGAACTGTTGTAAAACACCTACATTACTTCCATACTGATCACTGGAATGCTGTGCTCAGAATATCGAAAGATCACAGAAAACAAAACTGTGAAGATAGAATTTATTTCTCCAGTGAAGGCGAAAATTAACTAGAAATATAGTTGTTCAAATAGTCTACTTACTGAACCAACAACTGTCAAGTTGAATATAAGAATTGTCTTCTCAGACACTGATTGATAATCAACTAATAGGATGCCAATAACACGATTTTTGGTCAAGATTAAGGGCTAATATTTAGTCCTCATTTTAATGGAAAACGTTGACCAATCAGCTATTTTTCTGTCTGTTCTAATAACTCCAGTCAAACTTTCCTATTATTCCCATAATCATCTAACTTCTAATAAATTTGCTATATAACTCTAATCCACTCTTTAAGACTTTCGGTTGATCTAAGATTTTTTTTATTCATTATATTTTTTTGTACTAACTGTTGTTTCACTTTAGAAGAAACAGATATCCTCGTTGAAAAGTCGTGTTATTAACAGTTACAATTAACAATATACGATAATTTAATGAATGAACCTGTGAAGAGATGAAATCCGTTTGTTTCCTATGAATTTTACTCCACTCAACTTTGTTAGCATGAATGTTGAGTTACATATTCCCAGAGTGATTTTGAAGACCTCACGCATATTAGCAAACCCATACTCTACATGTACACATTAATTTGTGAATAATTGATGAAGGTGGACGTTGAAGTTTGTGTGGTTTCTCATGTATCTTTCGTTTGATAACCATTTTTGATATAAGAAGCAACTGCTTAAGTTCAGTTTATTTTTAAATATGATATAGTTCTGTTATACGGTAATTACTAAACCAAACCAAAGTAATTCCATCACTTTAAAGAGTAATTACCCGTTAATTTCGCACCACCGAGTCGAAATTACAAACTTTTACAGAAATTCCTACTATTATTCTGGCAGTTAAGTAGTGTCGTTGGTTCACTTATAACCACCTACAGGAGTTAACTGAGTAATATATATATATATATATATATATATATATATATATATATATATATATATATATATATATACATATATATATGATGTGGTATGATATGATATTGTGATGTAACTCTTGATTACCTGAAGGCTAAAGTTCGACAGATTTGTTTGCTACGATATGTATTCGTCTCATCAGTATCCTTTCAAAGGTTCCTGAAAAATATGGATATAATATCGATTTTGAATTCACCTTGTTCTTCAATGTTATCTCTAAGGGATGACTTGTGACAATGGATGATTTCTTATGAAGCTGTCAGTTTCATTCACAGAGTTTTCTTCTATTACAAAGTTTTCATATTAGAAATGATCAAAACAACTACATTTTTCATATCAGTCTTAGCTACCCTTGAGAGAAGTGTTACTATGAGCGATGTGTAACTGATTATTATCCAGTTCAGTAGTCGCCCAGTCTTGTAGTCCATCTACTATAGGATGTTATAGGATGCCTTATACTTGTTTTAATCGCCAGAAAAGTGGATACATGATTGTGAGTGCGCTCATGTTCTCCTAAAAGTTTAAAACCTCAACATTCACTAGTGAACGAGGTCTGAACCAAAATGGTTTTGCCGATTCACTTCTAATACTAACCTTTCACCTGGTCTATCTCACAAATAATTGTTACACAGTGTGAACTCAACCCACCGACACAATGAGTTTCGCAATTTGGTCCTCCCAACCTCGTACAACAGAATTCAAAGTCATGTGTCGTTGTCTTTCAGGCAATTTACAAAAGTTAAACATCCTATTTCATGCACAAAACACGAATTAATCCACACTTATTGATTTCATTAAGCCGGTAATTATTTCCCAACTATAAGTCATACATAAATAGATAAAGAGTCAATCAAAACCTCTTGAGCCAAACTATGTTACCAAATAAGCCATAAGTAAAATACCTTTTAAAATAAATAAAATAATTCAATCGATAATACTTATTTGAGATTTATATTTTTCAGTTTTTGGCTGAAATCCGATTTAACTTAAGCGATTATTCATACTTTTCTATAGAAACTTGGTAATATTGCTGTATACAGAAAATGAACAACAAAAGGAATTTTGAATTAAGTATTGAATACTTTGTCTATTCCCTGTAATCGTTTTACTGATAACGCCTTGTATCGATCTATTAATCTCACAATCATCTGTTGGAACCTAACAGATAAACTTTGGTATTTACATTTAGCTGAAAGCGAGAAAGGAGAAGCTACACATTTATAAAGTGGAATGAGATATGTATCAGTTTCTTCGATGCCTCAGTTACTTATCTGAAGTTGAGATACTTTCATTTTTTCTATCTCTCACTCAGACTTTCATTGTAACCAATTTTTATGCGATACATTTGAAGCATTTTACGATCATGAAACCTGTTCTTGATTTTTATTTTTAAAAGATGAGACATTTACACCTAATCTTTTTTATTTCATCAGGGTAAGAAATCCATGTGTTCGATTGATTTCGAATCATCTAATTACCTGCATGTGTTTCTTTGTCTTGACTAACGTACGTTATGATTCCAAAATTGTTATGGTCGCTAACAATGAACGGATATCGACTTTTAGCCACCAACATTCAACAAATTCCTAGTTGATTCCGGATCCGAATAATTAATGGAGAAAACACAATGGACGTGTAGAAACGTGTATTGGGGTCGAAAGATTGAAGACAGGAACAAAAGGAAGGATATCTCATATATAGATATTAATAATGGATAGAGGCTAGCAGTGGAATCCAACTTGGCACGCGTTTCGTCCTGTTTGGGACTCGTCAGCTGGATGTACCTGCCACCCAGTCAGTGATGTTGTTCCCACTGGGATTAATTCGGTCAAATCAACTACGGGCTAACAAATGCAACAGCATTAGTTCGCCTTTTAAAATAATAATATTGATTGTCTGTCTAACTGTAGACGTGATAATATAAACTACATTTTGATTGGTCCCTCTCCAGACTAATCTTTTCTCTCTATCCCCATATCAAATGATGGCAAAGTAATCGGTGCAGCTTAGCAGCCACACACAAGTTTAGGTAGCAGACCATTTTCAACATCTATTGTGTATTACGTAGTAATAACCTTTTCTGGCCTTAAGCCTGGTAGGTGTAGTAAATTTCAAAAACGTGAACCATTTTTCGAAGTTGGGTCAGTCAACAACAACCGCATGATAATGAATAAACTACTTAAAGTGGGTAAGACTTAATTGGTTGGTGTTCTCTGAGATTTGATGTTTTTTCTATGACGTTTCATCACTAGCCTAGACGACTCCATAAGCATTTACTTCACAATGGGGTTCACTGATATGGCTAGAACTAGTAGGTTTAGACACTGTACTTCCGATTAATTGATCATCTGTTTGAATACTACCAAAGACGCAATTGGAGTTTAGGCAACCAGGCTGAGTTAACTCACACACATATATTGTTTACAATTCGCAGGATATTACAGGAATGTCTATATGCTTTTCTATTGGAACTCAGCAAAACATTTATTCCTTACTAGTTTAACCTTCAGAATTCTATATAAATTCTGAGTAAAGTATGAAAAATCACAAAAAAAACCAAAAAAATTGAAAATATGACAAAAAGAAACATTTAAAATTTAGGTTTACTTACTAACAGGCATCATCTGTAGAAGCAAAACCAAGCATAATTTAGAATCATTTAGTCGAAAATCATGACCCTTCAAGTCATCCGGATAACGTGTATTCACTTCTTCCACTATGATCTTCGGTCATTTTCTGAGTGAAGAAAGACAGTAAAGTAATAATATATTCAATATTCACATTAAATTACTTTATCTAGCTATAATCATTATCATACATAATGTACAAATCATAGCACCAGAAATTTTCAATGGGCATTGAACTGTTACGCTGTTTAGTCTTCTTTTCAGTTGTTTGTTAATTCAACAAATATATATCAACAACACTCATCTGTTGGTTGCATTATCTGTCAGGAAACTAGAGTCTTATGCCTTATTATGACATTCACAACACCATGACTAAACTTATTTATCAGTAACTGACAAATTAAAAATATCCTTTACTTGAAAAGTAAAACATCATGCACTCAGAAGTAATAAAAGTGAATGGAAGAAGAGGATACAGGAATATAGGAATCAACGTGTTATTTCTTACTCATGGCTCAAAATGATGCACAAAAGGAAGTATTCAAAATTCATATATACTGAACTTACTTTTTGGGTGATTTTAGACGCTTCCTAGAGTGTCGTTATTTAGATGAAAATTTCTCCGAGATAATAATTAAATCAACTATAAGATGGACAAATTAGAGAAGAAGAAGAAAATCCTGTTTCTGGAAAACAATTTCAAAGGTGTGTACAATCATCATTTTAGTTTTGAAACAAACAGTTAAATTCATTTTCGTTGAATAAAGTTACCATTAAGTCATCGAAAATGTTTTTTTGATTTCAGGTTGATATCTGTCCAGTGCTCCCAGGTTCCCAATATTTCTCTAAATTATGTCAGTTCATTATGAATACCAACCTGAAATCAATGAATAAAACCGCATAGACTTGCAACTTAAAAGCGTATTTAGCTAATTTTTCCCAATAACAAAAAAGATATTGAGTAATGGTAATTGTGAGAAAAGCATTCAACTGAACGCATTGATTTCTACTACTTACAAAGGATAAAATGTATGAATAAGTTCTGTAATAGAATATGATGGATCAAGATATGTGAGAATATGAATCAAAATGAAAATCAGAAGTAGTAATGGTAATAATATAATGAAATGTAAGCTTATAATAACTGCGGTGGGAAATGAGGTTACATGTACTGCGGTGGCAAACATAATTAAAACTTGGATAATTGAACTATCAAGAGGCCTGTTAAACATAAATAATGAATTCTGACTTTTACCGAACCATTTACTTGAACCTTATCAGGGGTTTTAAAGACGAATGTGGTGAACCAAGGTTACCAAATGCTTAAAAATTGAACTCTTGGCTCACTTACACTCTATGCTTAGTATTCAGTGATGCGCACGAGAGAAAATACTATTTGTACATTACGTACAACCACCTCCATAGAAGTCCCTGTCTTTATTAAAGTAATACATTTAATCTGGTATTTAAAAACTGATATCTTGTTTTAGTAATTAGAAGAGTCATACTAATCACTATGCGCCAAAATATGAGGAAAGTATACATATCTTGGTGTTTCTGATCCCTACATATTATGAAACAAAAATACCAATAATCGATGCAAATCTAAGTGTGACACATCAACTGGACATACTTTATAATATGCCTAGATGGTGGTAAAAACATTTTAAGACTGCAGTACCCACGTTATGATAGCTATAAGTACCTCAGTTGCTTAGCCGATACTAACTGGCATCATTTGCCTGGTATCAAGTGCTAATTGAATCATATCAGTCATGTTTTCAGTTTAGTCTTATGGGTGAATGAGTTTATATCTCTGTCTGATGGCCCTAATTATGGATCGTTCATGAAAATTAAATGGGATCTGTACTTTATTTTGGTTTCGTGCTTACTGGCAACAATCAGCAAGATTTACTTACGGTGTAAAAGAAATCAATACTAGCTTTCAGACAATCGAAACGTAGTTTGGAAGTCATTGTTAAAGTGTGTTTTATTGATTAAGACATTTGGTTTTCACGGGTTCGAACACCTCCTCCACCGAATAGTGCCCTTAGCACTGATGCAACATGTATAGCTGATCACCTAGCACGCGAACCTGAATGAGGTTACTGAGTAGCATTTTCTCTATTTAACATCATGTTGTACAAGATCAGATGTCTTTTCCAGAATAGTCTTTAGTAAATGATTTAGACTAAACCGGTATAAAGCATTCATACACTCAAATAAAATAAAAATTAATGCAACATAGGAATTTCATGGAATTTAGAGTACTGGTAAATGTTAGTCGGTTAGAGGTAATCGACAAGCTGCCCTACTCGACCTTGGTTTGGTGCTTCTTGGCATTAATTGGGAAGACGCATCGGCAACCTCGAAGGAATTGACATCCCGTGTGAGATTCGAATTTTCGTTACCCAGCGCTGCAGTTAGTGACGTTACGAATGAGCTGTTCGGGGCCTTAATTGACTTCCTGTAAGAATGGAATAAGTAATAGACTTATTGTATAAGATATAATGTTAACAACATGCTGCTGTTAGATGTTTATGGTTACTTGGCAGAAATTACTAGACCTGGATATAGTAAATGTCAGTCCTCTTAAATAAGTCATATATATATCTTTAAGATTCAAAGGTTTCCAGTAACCAATTCGTACAATACTCTGTTACCAAAACCTTGTTGTACAGAACAAGATTACAACTGTGAACCAAATGATCAAGGTTAATTATCCTAGATGAATTAGTCATACATCTCCAAAGTGTTGATTAGAACTTATTGATTACAGAGTCAGTGTTACTCCCTAAGCTAAGTGAAATAACTCTGTTATGCATTTTAGTTTATCCGACTTTAAGATGAAGTCCTCAGAAAGCCCTAGACTTAGGTTAGATATTTATGTCTTTCATTGGCCTTCAAGTGTCTGCTTGAACTTTACTACTGAGTGTCCTTTATTTGTTGTTTAGAGAAGTTATGAGTTTCCTCAAGTTTGCAGATGATGATTGCTAAAAAACATAAATAGTGGCTAAACAGATGTTCTAGCCGACTGACTCAGTACTCATCACAGATGTTCTGTCTACTGGATTCATGAAATCCATGAGTAACAATAATGATTTGGCTAGCATATGTCCTAGGCACTTTTGAAAGTTCAAACACCTTTTGTACCAAGATGTTACAGCAAAAAACTAATGCAGAGTAATATGCAATATATAGTAGAGTTGTATTCTCAAAAAAATGTCAGCCAGTATGATAGACGTTACTGATAAATATCAGTAGCTGGTAATATAAATAATAAACAAGTGGGATAACTAGTCTTTAACTTCACATCAATAGTGGTATGCTTAGACTGATTCACCTTGAGAAAAGTGAACAACCGAAGCGTGCGTATTTTCTGTATGCTGTATGCATATGGTAGAGAATCGGCCCGGAAACCCGGTGGTCGCTGGTTTGAGTCCGGCTACGGTTCAAATTTTCATTTCACCTTCAATCATCATCCAGTATAAAACTAGTCTGCAAAACTACGGCTATCTCAGACAGTTAAATGATAATGTGTATTTTACTTATTTTTATAATTTCTAAAACGCTGTCTCTCATTGAATCATCTTTCATACTGTTTACTCATGTGTAGAGTATTGGTTGCACTTCCACCTCCTAGTTTGAATGTAAGTACGTTTATTTATGAAGAATAATGCGCACAAATCAAAGCAAGTTAATTGAAACTTAAAACTGCAGCAAAAACGATTTATGATTGCAGTTTTCACTTCAAAATATATACTTATAAAACAGAAAAAATATATATTTTCACACAGAACACTATAATACTTAGGGATAACTTTTAGTTTCACTCAGCCACCTCTATGCTTCATCGATAAGTTTTCTCAATAATGAGGGTTCAAGTTGTAGCCGACTTAATTAGGATATTGAAAAAGAATGTTTTCAGCATACTTCTGGATGTATTGACTACGTGAGTAAACAGCCTTAATCCAACCCTCATAATTTTATACTTTTTTCACATTCAGGTTGACTATCAGTTGCTAAAAATAGCCAGAAGTTAGAAGTATAGATGTTAATGACAAGTGGTCTGGTAATTCATGTGACTATATATTTACCCTTTTCAGTACACTGACATACAGTTAACGTCGTTTTGTGTGAATAAGACACCAATATACATAGAACATGTAGTAGAGATATTTGTATGTCAGTTTGAAAAGAGCACAGACACGTAATGTAAACCAATCTGAAATTCTCTCATCAATATTGGAACAAAAATAAAACGCAGTTCAGGCGAAAAGTAGCTTGCCTGTGTGTCCATTATACAGGCCATCGTTCAAACTATATTTCTAAAAATAGAATCAACCCACATTAAACTTCTCAAATAAATGGATATATATATACTCTGAAATCAAGCTTATTGTGTATGGAATTTAGACTTCGTCGTTCAGCTATAGAGTGAGCTGTTTACGTTGCTTCAGTTTTAGGTGGATTGAAGAAACCTGGAGTTTTACATGAGACAAACTACAAGCTGAGGAAAAACACTCCTACTACAGATACACAGCGAACACTATTCAAGCTATTTGATTACGATCAAAGGATGTTTTGCGAATACGATTATATTTTTCACACTGCGTTGTAAACTTTCATATCTGTAAAAAAGTTGCCACAGCTATTCACTTAATGCTGACTTTCAAGCTCTTTCCGTAGGAAAAAGCGCAAAGGGCAGTAGTTAATCACCACATATTTGTGTTATGTGAAAATATCATCTGGTTCAGGAACATTCACATCAGTGTTTTAACAAACTTTTTTTTATTGGTGTTTATCGGTCTTGGACAGTATCACATGCAAACACTTGTTTTGTACTATGATCCTTCTCATCAAGCTGATCCGGTAAGTTCTTCAGAACATTTTATCCAAGTTCACATGTTTCTATTTTAATTATTACAAAATTTCACAGTAATTTTAATGAAGCATACAAAGATACGAAAAGATGCCCATTGTTGAAGTTGTATACATGGTGACTATACCGTTTTTCACGTTGATGAAATTACATATATGTACCCACTTCTAACCTCTGTTCTACTCTGAATAGTAGAAACCAATTTCAGTCTTCTATTTTTGTGCTATCTGGTTACTAAAGTAGAAAAGGCATTTGTAATTATTTTCCAATGCTCCCGTAATATCAGCTTTGTGTTAAGGAAAGAGGTTTACTACTTTTATTCATTTAAAGTGTACTTTGTTGTTGTTGAAGGTATTCAGTGAAGTGTACAACAACTTATCTCCTCCACATCTTATTGTATTATAATTTAAATATCAGCAAACAGGAGTTTATCAGTCCTGCTCTATGGTAAATGAGTTGAGTACTTAGCAACTTCTCTTTATGCTATGGAGTAGACAAATTTTTAGCTTATAACTGTTGATTTGTAGATCTCAAATACATGATTAGTGAAGGACAAAATCAACACATTCGACTTAAAAGATAAGTTTTATCGCCATGTAGACTTTTCATCCTTCCACTGTTCAGTTTATTACACCGAACATAACAGTAATAGCCAGATATGTACTTCTTTAAACGGTTGTCTTGATGTTGATGGCCTTTATCACAATACAGTTTTTCCTTTCTGCTGATGGTCATCAGTGCAGTTTGAGATGTACATTTTGTTCTTTATACGACCCTCTAACCATGTGTAACCTGCATTTCAGTGAGCTAATGATGTATCAAATTTAAATCCTAGGGGGTTATCGACCAGGTCACTGAGTTACAATAAATCACTTGTAAAATCTGTAATACTTTCGTTGTCATCATTGTTTTTGTATTCTGTTTTTGCTTTGGTTGAACTAAACTAACCAATCTGTATTGATTCATTTTCATCCTTTAGTGGTTTTGTGGGTAGATGAGAGGGGTTCGAAGAACAAACTGTGGGATTATAATTAGTAACAGAATATAAATTTTCAGAAAAGCAATAATGTGATGAATGGCCTTTTAGCTGTATCGCATCGACAAACTTTGTCTCAGGTGTAAGAGAAATGGAAATTATTTTCAACCTTTTTGATAACAGGTGTTTTAGTAAAGGTAGAAGTAATCGGGACATAAGTTACCGGCTTAATTTACTCAGGAGTATTCAAAAAATATGACCGATCAGGAGAAATATTAATGATGGATTATGGCTAGCTAGCACTGGCATCCAGGATGCGCATTTCGTCCTATTTGGGACTCGTCAGCTGGATGTACCTGCCTCCCAGTGAGTGA